GAGAGAGAGAGAGAGAGAGAGAGAGAGAGAGAGAGAGAGAGAGAGAGAGAGGAGAGAGAGAGAGGAGAGGAGAGAGAGAGGAGGATGAGAGAGAGAGAGAGAGAAGACGAGAGAGAGAGAGAGAGAGGGAGATGAGAGAGAGAGAGAGAGAGAGAGAGAGAGAGAGAGAGAGTATGAGAGAGAAGGAAAGATAGAGAGAGAGAGAGAAAGATGAAGACACACACACACATACACACACACACACACACAGAGAGAAAGAGAGAGAGAGAGAGAGATAAAGAGAGAGAGAGAGAGAAGAGAGGAAAGAGAGAGAGAGAGAGAGAGAGAGAGCAAAAAACAGATCAAGAAAAGTGGTCTCCTGAGTCAAACCGTACATGGAAGAATCCCGCCCACCCACGAGGGACGCGACTCCTCCCCTCTCCCTCACCAAGACCACAGCCACAGGGGAGTACATGACCCCCTCCGGAATATTTTATCATATTACCACCAACGCTAGCCAGGGGGAGAATGCAGTCCATGTCCGGGATCGTGTGAACATTATACGTCCAACCAAGAATGTGTTTAAGAGTATGAAATAACCGAATGTAAACAAATGCCTCATTAACGCTAGGACGACCATTGACGTTTCTTTAATACCAGGGAAGAATACCTTTTTTTAATTCAGGGATCTGCAAGGACTTCGCGTATGTGGAATGACCCCGTGTTGTTATTCACGGACTGACCTTTCTGACTTATAAAGGATTCTAGAGGCGAATCTGTTGCAGTCATGGTACACTCCGACCGCCCTTATCGTCCATGCGCAAAACCTCAGTACAAGTATTAACACAGCCTGTTTTTTCTCCCCCCGGAAATTATACGCGGTTTCCGAAAATAGAGGCTGCCATATTTCGCCATGATGGCCCAAAACGACATGAATAGATGTCAAAGGATAAAGGGGTTTTGGCGGACTCGAAATGGAGGAGGAAGTAAGAGAAAGAAAAAGAATAACCATATATCAGAGGAATCCCAAAGACTAGAACCAAAGAAGACGAAGAAGAGGAAGTAAGAGAAAGAAAGAGAATAAACATATGCCAGAGGAATCCCAAAGACTGGAACCGAAGAAGACGAAGATGAGGAAGTAAGAGAAAGAAAGAAAAAAATATATATCAGAGGAATCCCAAAGACTGGAACCGAAAGAGAAGACGAGGGTAAAGGAGTAAGAGAAAGATCAGAGGAATCCCAAAGACTGGAACCGAAGAAGACGAAGATGAGCAAGTAAGAGAAAGAAAGAAAAAAAATATCAGAGGAATCCCAAAGACTGGAACCGAAGAAGACATGAGGAAGTAAGAGAAAGAAAGAGAATAAACATACATCAGAGGAATCCCAAAGACGGGAACCGAAGGAGGAGACGAGGATGACACGTTTTATGATGATGATAGACACCTCGAGTCGTTTCTCCCCTTTCCTCACGATGATGATAGGATTTCCTCACGAGGAATAAACCTTACCTGACCTGCTGATATTGACCTTACCTGACCTGCTTAGAACCATGCTATTCCGGGCCGTGTAACCCTTCTGTCTCGTTGTCAGATGATGGGAGCTCCTCTTGAACCCATGGCTGTCATGTCAGTCATGGGCTTATAAAACTTAAGCCGTATGTGCTTCTCGGTGCAACAACCATACAGGCCCGTGCACAAACACAGGTACACATAAACACATACACACATCCACGACACACATACGTACACACAAACACACACATACAACGCTATCATCCCTACACCCACACACACAGACACACCCCCACAACCTCCCACACACACAGACAGACCCCACACCCTCCCACACACACAGACACACCCCCACACCACACACACAGACACACCCCCACACCTCCCACACACACAGACACCCCACACCTCCCACACACAAACAACCAAACACACACACACACACACAGCCCTCCAAACACACAGACAAACACAAACACCCCAGAATACACCCCCACGGACCAATAAAACCCACGAACCAAAGCGCATATACGGGGGGGGGGGGGGGGGGGGGGGGCATTAACGGCGTCCTATCATCTATCGAAGGACTTACAGCTGATTGTCCATCTCTTAAGCCCCAGCTCCCAGGCATCGGGGCATCCAGCTCTCATCTCTGGCATTTCAATCACGTGATAAGGATTGGTGATGCAGAATGATTGGCAACTCAATAAACTGTTTTATTTTTTTATTCTTTTTTTATTTCAGTGTTTGATTTTTCTCTTTTTTTAAGGGGAGAGGGGGGATAGAGGGATTTTAAAAAAATATTTCAGTTTGATTTTTCTCTTTTTTGGAGGGGGGGGTTAGGTAGAGGGGGATAGGGAAAGGAAGAGACGGAGAAAAAAGCGAAGAAAGAGAGAAGGATAAGTAGGTGAAGAAAATAAAAGATGAGAAGAAAATTTAGGGAAGTAAATGAAGGAGAAGGCGTGAGTGGAGAAAATGAAAGATAACAAGGTAGTAAATGCAGAAAATAAAAAAGAGTGGAGAAAAAGGGAAGAAAAAAGACAAAACGAAGGAAGTGATGAAAGTTGAAAAAAGAAAATTAAAAAGAACTTAAACTAAAAAAACTGAAAGACCAAATTAAAAAAGACGAAGTTGAAACCAAAAGCAAAAGAAGGAGAAAGGGGAGAGAGAAAGACAGACAGAAACACAGTGAGAGATGAAGAGACAAGAGGGAAAGAACGAAGAAGGAAAAAAAATATAAACAACAACAATCCCGATTCCAATTTAAATGCAATCACGGTATCCCACCTTATCCTCCCTCCCCCTCCCCCTCCCCCTCCCTTCCTCCCAAACGCACCATCATGCTCTCCCTCCACCCATCCTCCCCTCTCCCCCCTCCCCCCCTTACGGCCCTGATTCGAACGGATTGAAACTCACTGGAGTCTGAAGATCAAACTAAGTAACTCCTTCCTATAAGACAAGGAGATGAGGAGGTGGAGGAGGAGGAGGGAGGAGAAGGTGGAGGGAGGTGATGGTAGTGGAGGAGGAGGTGGAAGGGAGAAAGAGGAGGAGAGAAGGAGGAGGAGGTGGAGAGGAGGTGGAAGGATGGAGTGGAGGAGGAGATGGAAGTGGAGGAGGAGGAGGAGGAGGAGAAGTGAGGAGGAGGAGGAGAGGAAGGAGAGAGAAAAAAAATGTATGGGGAGAGAAGGAAGGAAAGGTCTAGGAGGAAAAGAATGAAGAGCGAGGCATAAGAATAAAAGAGGAAGAAAGGACAAAAAAGGGAAAAGAGACAGAAGGAGAGGGAGAAGAAAAAGAACATAGCGAATTTTATGGACATTAAAGACAATAAAATTGTCAAGATATGTATATATGGATTAGTAGTCGTTGTAATAGAAGAAGAAAGAATTAAATTGACATATAAAGTATAACAAGAAGTATATAGAAGAAGAGAAGGAAGGTAACAAAACAACTTAATTGAATATAATATTAACTCTTTATCAACAGAATAACCTTACACGCTTAATTACACTATAAGCCATATTTACCAATAAAAACCTGATCAAAGTATAGTAAACATAAGAAATAAGAAAAAATAAATCACAAGGAACTAATCCGACAGGAATACCCACGCGACTGCCAATGTCATTCTATTTGAGACCCCGCTAAAATCAGGGGAAGAGTTGATATCCCATTTTCTTGTTTTCGCGAAAGACAAAAAGAAAATGGGAAGCGGCATTAGGAGTGCGGGGAGTTATTTGATTTCGACGGAATTGAACCCAAATGGCAAGACTTATAAAATGTTCATTTAATTTGACACATTCTGGAAATGATTCTTTGGTTGTTCTTTCTATTGCCGAGGTGAGTTAAGGGACGGAGAGAAATTGAAAGGTAAACATAGAACGAGGAAAAAAGAGAAGGAAAAGAGAGTGGATATGTGTGTGTGTGTGTGTGTGTGTGTGTGTGTGTGTGTGTGTGTGTGTGTGTGTGTGTGTGTGTGTGTGTGTGTGTGTGTGTGTGTGTGTGTGTGTGTGTGTGTGTGTGTGTGTGTGTGTGTGCATAATATATGTGAATCTGTATATATGTGTATATATGTATATATATATATATGTTATAGATATATATTATATATAATATATATATATCTATATGTATATATAAGTATATATACATATAATTTATGTATGTGAATATATATGTGTGTATGTGTGTGTGTGAATGTGTATAAACACATACAATCAAAATAAAGACTGAATTTGCACATGAAAGATAATAAACAATGGAGCACGATGATAATTCAGTAGCTAGAGGACAACGAGCCTATAAGAATAATTCTGTAATAATAAATATGCTAAATATCATAATATAACAGAATCTACTTCATATTCATAAATAAAACAAGATCGTATGTATCAGTTTCAAATACGTATACATTATTATTGGTTCTTAAAAATCTCAATGCATAAACATTTGAGTTTTGGCGCCATTCTCTATATACGATGTATATCCTTATTGAATTCATACTCAGTGTAAATAAAAGGTGTTGCTTTTCACTTTAATATATTCATAAGACTGATTTTGATATGTTATCTACATCTACATATTTATGGGTTTATCATCTTTGAATATATTAGATTTTTTCTCACATTCGCCCCCCCCTCATTCACTCTCGCTTCTGGAAAATCGAATACAAATGAAGAGAACTCAAAATTATCATAATAGGCCTATATCTCTAGCTGAGCCTGAAAGATGAAATATATTACTACTACTGATAATAATAGCATTGGGATTTCGATTACTATTACTACTACAATGGTTCTACTGATTGTGTTACTACTGTTGCTAATATTAAATCTCTGTTTTCTTCCTCTTTTTTCTCTCGCTCTCTCTCTTTTTTTTCTCTCTCTCTTTCCCCTCCCTCTCCTCCCTCTCTTTCCCCCTCCCTCTCTTCTCTCTCCTCCTTCCCTCAATCCTTCTCCCTCTCTCTCATTCTCCATCTCACCCCATTTATCTCTTTTTTTCCTTCTCCAACAGTTACCAGTCGCCTCCAAGTATGTCCCGCACCGCCAACCTCATGTTCACCGTTCTTCTCGGTCTTATCGGGCTCACACTATCCGCTCACGTGCAGCCCATCCAGGAAAGGTAAGTTTTGAATACGTATTTGAGAATAGATGTTTTAGGATTTTAGGATCTATCTTCTTTTTTAGATTAGTATTTCTTGTTTTTGTTTTTGTTTTGGGATATAGGCATTTAATTTTTTTTTGGGGGGGGGAGGGGTAATTTTTTTTTTCTTGTTTTGTTTTTGTTTTGGGATATGTGCATTTTTTTGGGGGGGGGGGTAATTTAAGTTTCAGATTTTTAGTTTTTATTTGAGTTTGGGAATTTGAGGAGTCTAAGATTTGGAATTTAAGGTTAACGGTTTGAGTTTTGAATCTGAGTTTGGAATTTGTTTGAAATCTGAGTTTGGAATTTAAGGTTCTAATCTTGGCTTGGAATTTGCTTTTTATTATCGTTATCATCATTCTTTTATCATCATCATTATTATCATTACATTTTATTATCAGCATCAGCATTATTATTGTCATGGTTGTTGCTGTTAACATTATTACTACTATCGTTATTGTCATTGTAAAAACATTATCATTATTATTATTATCAATATTAATATTATTATTATCATTATTATCACTATTATCATTACCATCATTATTAACCATTAGCATTGTTTTTATTAATATCATAGTCATTATTATCATTGCTATTATCATCATCGTTATTATCGTTGTTATTATTGATATCATCATTATAATTATCATTGTTATTATCATTACTATTAATGTTGAAATTATGAAGAGCATTTTTAAGTTTATCATTATTTTCATCTTAGTTATTATCACTTTATCAACTCTCCATTGTTGTTGCAAAAGCAAATTCCATCAATTAAGGTTAATTTTTTGTCCATCGAAAACTAACTATCTGATCAACTTTCATAACGAAATGTAAACACTTCACAAGTCATTAAACTTCTGTAGAAAATTCATTATGATGCTAACAATCTCTCTAACTTCTAACAAAAAATATATATATTCAATCGTTCCACCTTACATTAGATAGCTTTTGAAAGGGATAGGAAAAAATAATATATGTATGTTTACGGTGTGACTGATAATGCGATCCCGAGCAAATATCGTCGAGAGGTAATCGATCGGCAAAAGAGAAAAAAAAAATGGCGGTCATCCCACGCAAGGCCGCGCGTAAATGCCTTTGTTTACAACCGGAGATAATATCCTTAGACATATCCAATCGCGCCATTTAATTAGATTAGCACTATGCCCTCTGTTTGGAGATAAACGAAGAAATGCTCTTCTCTTACCAAAACTCCTTAAACAAAATCATGCATGGACAATACATCCACGTGAAAAAGGGAGTGGGAGGGAAAATAGATAAAGAAAGAGAGAGAGAGAAAAAAAAAACTGAGCACGCAATGACTTAATCCTGAAACCGTTTCCACCGAAAATGAAAAGACCCTAATTCGTTCGTGGGCGGGTATTGTGTACATTACTATCACTTTCGGGTCTTACTTAGCGGTCTTTATTGCGTTACGCCTCTGATTACCTTTCGTTCGCCTGAGTGGAAAAAGGCCACGGGCATTGAGTCATAGAAAACGGATCTTTGTTTCGTTTTCTTTTCTAGGGATGACTGCTTTATAGTGTGTAACTTTTTATGTTTGTAAATCTGCATGTGTGTTTGTGTGGGTGTGTGTGGGTGTGCTTGCATGTATGTGTGTGTGTGTGCGTGCATGTGTGTATGTGTGTGCGTGTGCTTGCATGTGTGTGCGTGTGCTTGCATGTGTATGTGCGTGTGCTTGCATGTGTGTGTGTGTGTGTGCTTGCTTGTGTGTGTGTGTGTGTGTGTGCTTGCATGTGTGTGTGTGTGTGTGCTTGCATGTGTGTATGTGTGTGTGTGTGCAGGTATATGTACATATATAAGTATGTGCACGTGTATGCGTATAAGCTATATGTGCGCGCGTTTGTGTGTGTGCTCAACTGCTCAAGTGCCCTCAAGTACTATTTGAGATACGTACCTGTCGGAGGCAAATGCCGTGCTACTGACAGGTGGCCCTTTGCGATTTCCACATTTATTTTAGATATATTTATGGAGAGATACACACACACTACATCCACACTAATTCCTCGAGAACTCTTATGACACATTCAGTTAGAATCATGACCTTAAGCAACTTGTTCGGAATACTCGACACTGACTTGCATCCCATTGACTGACTTCGAAAAACACTAAGACTCCCTTTGCCAAGTTTGATCCGCTTGTCGACGGCGGAAGTTTCCCGAAGCACACGACACGAGCAGTTGCCTCTTGTCTTCGAGAGTCTTCTAGAGGTTCTATTCGGCTTAAGAAAGAGCTTGCTGGATGCCGCGCAGCAACCCCGAGCGCCCGCCTCCCCTTCTCCCTTTCTCCCTTTCTCCCTTCCCCCTCCAGTTAGTTGTGTGTTTACCTGCCTGTGTCTACCTGTTTGTCTGTCTGTGTATCTCCAGTTTTGTTGCCATTTCTCTCTCTTTCTCTTTCTCTTACTGTTTTTTTCTCTCCCCCATCTCTCTCTCTGTGTCTCTGTCTCGCTCTCTCC